AAAAAAATCAACTTCACTTGGAATAGAAGCATGGTAACTCATTTTATAGCACGAGTATCTTCCTAGTCCAGGGGTGGGCAAAATACAGCCTGCAGGCTAGATGAAGCCCACCCATTGATTGTATGTGGCCTGCAGCTGCATCCTCCCCATGCTCTGCATGGTGCCAAACCCCACATGCTCCTGCCAGGGCAGCCCATGTTGTACTCCTGCCTGCACTTGCCTCGTGCCCTCAAACAGCACCACCCCAGCGTTGGCACACAGCTCCTGGCAGGGCTGCTCCAGCTCCCAATTGCTTGTAGTGGCTCTTTCTCTTCGTGCTGTGCTGCTCCATGCAGCAGGTAACACAGGGAGGCAGCGGCAGAAGACAGAGACACGTGCCAGGCACCACACACCCTACCAAGCAGAGGCGAAGCTACAGCCAGGTGGATCCTGCCCCAGCATGCAGGGCTCCAGCTCCTGGTTGCCTTCCACCCACTCTGCCTGCCCAGCGCAATGAGCTGCCACCTGCATGTGGCCAAGTGGCTGGAAAGCAGCTGGAGCAGTGCAGCAGGGGCAGGAGGAAGACAACAAGCCACTGGAGGTGGGTAAAGCTAAGCAGTATCTAGGCAGCAGTGGGAGCAGCTCCACTAGGAAGCTGTGCATGCTGGCTGGGGCAGTGCCATCATTGGGCCGCTCAGTGCAGATGCAGGCACAGGCAGGAGTGCAGCACAGTGTGGGCTGTTCCCGGTGGGAGTGGGCAGGGCTCGGTCCTGTACTGACTGCTGCAGGGGTAGCCATGGGCTGCATGGTGGGGGAAAGAGGGAAGCACCAACTGCACCTGCCTGGACTGCCCGGGAAAACATTAGAACAGTAGAGTAGATTTTGCACCGCATGTGCCTCTTACAACCCCCTCCCTCCCGGCTCCTGGGACCTAGCTCATGGACAACCCCACCCACACACATGCAAACCCACCCCACCCACAACATACAAGAGTAAGACTTTATTTTGAGCTATTAGGTAATCCCCTCTATGTACACTACTCAAAAAAACCCAAACAAATCAAGACAAAAAATCGTTTTTGAAATAAAATTCAAGTGTGTTATAGTAGATGTTTAATTTTTAATGTACGATTTGGTTTTTTTTATCTATAATTTGTTTAAAATTATGTCTTCTGAAAGATTGTGTGCACAGCCCTCAACAGCTCACCTGTTTGGCCTGCCAACCAAAATAATTGCCCACCTCTTTCCTACTCTATTTCTCCCACTGTTCCCATTTTATTTTACTTGTTATGTCTGTACACAGCTAATTTTCTTAAGTAAAAAAAATTCATATTGCTTCTCTGAAGGTTGAAATAAACCAACACTTATACCTAATAACAGTGTTGCTCATTTTTAAGAGATTCAATTTGACAATTTAAATGCCATAAGAAACAGGTGCGTCTTTGTTGTCTTTTACAGTTGAGTTACTATGGAAGCCATCAAAAGGCTGAATTCTATTGGACGTTCTGTCAAACTTGTAAACAGTTTGGAACACCAGATGTATTGCTCAAAAAAACATAGATGACAGACAATTAGTTTGTCACGTGAAAGAAATATCCTGGCAGTTATAACAAAATTAGAGCACACCTCACTATCTGGATACAATTTTAATAAGTTTGTATGCTTTATATTTACAGTAAATGCAAAAAAGCCTTGTTCAAACAAATATTAGACAGCTCAAACCAGCAGAAGAAAAATTGTGAGCCTGAGGGTGCCCACCACATCATCTACTCTATTATTCTAATGCTTGTGTCAACAGATTGCCAAGAAAATTTTGAGAGCACCTAATTTTGTGCATCTAGAACTGCTAAAATTAGCCTTAACACCCCCCCCAACACACACCAAAAAAAAGTCTTTTACTCCTGGGGTTAACAAAATGGAGCCAGAACAACTGGATTCTGAAGAAATACCTCACGCTGTACTTAAACAATGCCTCTGGGCAATGCTTTGAGGAACTTTGCCGAAAACTGCATTTAAGTTATCTTCTGCCAAAATAATCACAACTGCTAAAAGAGACTAGTAAAGTAGGGTCTCAGGAGATCTTCCCCACTCACTCACCTGACCACCCAAAATGTATGATCATGCAAGCAAATTTCAACCTGAAGTGAACTGTTATGGGAAACTCAAATATAAATACTTACAAACTTAACAGATACAATTCTGTCCAAAGTTGCTAAAACAGTCAATATATTCATAGAAAAATGTTCCTATTTATACAAGCAAAATTATAAAGTAGTGCTCCCACAGTTTAACATTATGTTCTTACAGCAATTAACTGCACTAATGCAAACTGCTGACTGCTATGTCATGGTAAATATGCCACTAATAAAGTTTGATGAAAACAGTAGACTGCTACAGGCTGTTACAAGCCATTATATGTACCCATTTGGGCTACTTGTTTTTATCCCTTCACTGTTCTGAAGCACAAGGTCTACTTGAAGACAAGCAACTACTTAATTTTATAATTAAAGAATTAATTTCAAAAGTCCTCCAGCAGTAATTAGCAATCTGTTACTGAAAAAAAAAGCCATTTCACCCCATGGGTTTAAAAAAAAATATCAATTGTATGCATTTCCAGCATAGAAGGACACTAATAGAAACAAATTCATCAACATCTCATAAGTACAAACATTCAATCCAGCTACTAGACAGCACTACTGAGAAGTTTAAATATACAACAAATTCCAGACATTGAAAAATAAATTTATCTGAACATACATCAAGTTTCAGCAGCAGTTTTCATTACTTTTAACTGACTGTACTTAAATTCATTTAGGAATTTGAATTGTGAAAAAGGATTTATGCCACAAAAAGTTTTAAATTTATTTCATGTTTTTTTTAACCAGCCAAGACATTCTAATTAAAATTCCCTTTTGCTTTTCTACTTCATGAAAAAAATGGGAAAGGATCCTGTGTTATGAATAATTTTATACCAATAAGGCAAGCCATTTTGTTATATTATAAAGCACTGGCTATTACAGAACTTGTTCTGTCCTGGCATAACACACAGAACCCCAAACTAGTACTGACTGGTTGGGAAGCTTCCCCAGCCAGCTAATGAATAATTTGATGACACTCTAAGTTATTAAAGTGCATTACAGTAACCAAAGTTTTGCAAATTGTGTAACAGTCCTGTTTAGCATGCCCTTGAATATGTAGAACCTGAAATAGGCAGCAGCTGAGAGTTCTTCCAAGTTTACACACTGTCAAGAACAAAACCACCTTAAACTCTTTTTTAATTTACTAGAAACACAAGAGCTTCTAAGTTCCCTACTCTGCTGCTCCAAGCCAAGACCATAACAGCCACCAATCCCAAACCCTCATATTCATCTCAATCCACAGAATGTCCTTTCCACCATGACTCCACACAAACACGTGTCAGTAGCCCCTAGCAATCGGCTATTGTGAAATCCACAAAAAGAAGCAATTGCGTACTCTCCAAAAACACTAATTATAACGGACCCTTTTAATACTATCCTAGAAATATCCCTAGGCTTTTGATGTTTTAGGTATGGCTGGAATGAGATGCCTGTCATTTTATTTTTTGTGTTTTCAACAAGCATTCGTCTGGGATGAGCAGGGCACAGGACTAAATGACCTGGAGTCCCTGCCAGCCCTTTTTTTCTACGATGTTTCTGCCACAACCAGCTTCTAAGTCTTCCACCGCTGCTCATCTCTCCAAAGCTGGAGAACAGCTCCTCAGAGCAAAGATCTCCTTGCAACAAGTCCTTTTCACAGCATCACAGCTTTGGGATTTGTTTTAGGTGCTCTAGCACATTCACTAGCACAAGTGTGAAGAGCACTCATAAGCCCGAGAAGCAGAAGAAATGACAATGACAACAGCAGGATTCTCACAATTATAAAGAAGGAAAGCAACGGGCATATGCTATAAAAGCAAACCAATCGGACTTCTTGGTAAGACAACATGCTAGTCCCCCAGTCAATCAAAGGAAGCGAACAGCAATGTCATTACCATAACACCCTTCCCCTTCAGAGGATTCCAACACCAGAGCTGTGTTCACTTAGCCCACATGCTAGGATTCACACCAAAGGTCAACACAAAGCCCATTTAGGCTGGGCTGAATTATTATATACCAGTATAGGTGCATTATTTTATAAATTAGCTTCCAGATGCAGTCAAAACAAGTGCTATTCATTGGTACGTTTACACCAACTTAACAGGCAGAATACTTTAGTATAAGACAGAAACTTGAAACAGAGATGGTAAACAGCATATAAGGCACAATGCAATTATTAGATCTGGCAAAACAATGCAAGTGTAGAGAACAACGGCCCCTTTCAACAAGAAGGGTGACAAATCCTGAAAATACACAAGTTAACTGAAATCACCTGCAATGTTACCCACATCACAATGACAAGGTAGCAAGTGCAAATATTTGATGGTTTATTCTGTTACACTTTCCTCCTCACATTTTTTCCAGGAGTTACCATCTCAAAACCTTGATTTCAATTTGAAAGAAAGTGAACCACTCCTCACCCAATGCAATCAGCATTGCTGTTTGATAGACAGTCCAAATAATAACTTTATGTACCAGTGCACTAAGTATACCTTACCAGGCACTAAAAAAACTACACTCCTGTAATCCTTGCATTTGCCAGTTCCAGGCCCAAAAGTCTAACTGTGTTACTGAAAAGAGGAATTACATACGTACTGCAAAAATTTAAACATTTGACCAACTTACCCCATCCAAAAGAGTATTTGTTAAGTGTGTACGAAGATCTTTACGAAATGGAAACTCCAGGTTTGATACATGAAACACTGAGTTATCTCTATCAATCATATAAACTTCATTCTTGCCATCAATCAACATCATATACCTGAGAAAAATACAAAATGAAAACATTAGATTTTTTACCAACTCTTCTAAGTTTATAAAAATATAAAAATATTTTAATTATGCAACCACTGTAGGAATTAAAAATATGAATGCAACAAACTGAAGGTATTAAAAACATTAAAATGGCAAGGGTCACAGGTTTAAGACCATTACTTCGGAAGGTGTCTTTAAATTTTAATACAACTGTAGACATCAAAATATTTACTTAAAACATAGATTATAATTTTATTTTCACCTGTAATACATATATATTTACAAAAGGCATCTTTTCAGCAGACAAAGTTAAGAATAGAAGTGAGTGCTATAACTCATATACAACTTCCACTCAATAAAATCCAGGCAATAAGTATTGCCTTGAGACAGAAATAAAAGTACGAAACTAAACCTGCATCTGATGTAAACTGACAGCTCCAATGAAGTGTAAAGAGCTATGCAATGGTTCTAATCCAACATTTATTATTCGTATTGCAGTAGTTCACAAAGTCCCAGGTCAGTCATGAGGCCTCATTATGCTCAACACTGTAACCAATGCTGTCAGGAGTCCCTACCCAGAAGTACTTACAACTTGAAAAAGAAAGCTTGTTATGTTGCAACAATGTAGGCCTCTTCTACATGAGCAGGTAAAGGTGGGAAGGGATCTAATCTGTGATTCATACAATTGCACCTCCCTCCATGCCAAACATGCACAACAGGAGGCACAACTGTGGGATCGCTCAGACCCCATCATGCCTTACTGCTGGTGTCTGGGGAGCCTGATCCCAGACTCCCCTGACACAGGCAAAGGAGCAGGCTCCTGTGGCTGGGAGCCCCGATGATAGGGTCCCAGCCACAGGAGAACCCCATGAACCCCAGAAACTGAGGATCCCCGGTGCAGCACTCCCCCTACCCTGGGGGGTGCAGGAAAACCCCTAGAGGGAGGGAGCGGGGGCAACTGCAGTAGAGGTGATCACCCTGCCCCAGAGAGGTGGGAAAATACTCCAGGACCAAAGGATCATGGTGATCCTCCAGCCTTAGTGGTTTTCCCACACTCCCAGAGTGGGCTATAATTGCCCCTCCAGCAATCCTTGAGCCCCAGGGGTTTCCTACATGCTGGAGTCCTAGGAATCACAGCAGCTGCTGTCCTCAGGATTCAGGGGTTTCACACCCCCCAAGCCCTAGGGATCATGGCAGCTGTGGTTCCCCAGGGTCTAGGGGTTTCCCTAGGACTCAGGGGTGCATGAAACCCCCAGTCTCTGGGGGTCACAGGTGCTACAATGTCTAGAGCTCAGGGGTTTTTCATTGGGCATGATGTACCACTGTGGATGGGAGCTCCATCAGCTGACAGGGCACTGAGCAGGAGGGGAGACCCTGCTACATGTGCAAATTAAAGGTCAATAGCAACCAGCTATAAAGTTAGTACACATTTTTTAAATCTATCTTTATGGCTAGTTGGAGCTTTTTATTGTGTGGGAGCTACTTTGCACTTGTTGCTGGTCTCAAAGTAATTGCATAATACCCATAACGTGTGGAGGGGGCGGGGAATCATAGTCAATCTCAGTTCAGTATATGCCTTAATCCTCTCAGGAGCTATATCAAGTGTCAACTCACGCCATACCCCAGGCTGAATCCAAACTACAGAGCTCTTTGAGGACAGGATGCATGGGACAAACAGTGGCTGCAGCAAGGCAAGCATCAGCAGGGGTCACTTTGCCACAGTGGGGGCAGCAGGCTAAAACACAGCTGTTAGCACAGCCCTTGCTCATTCCCTGCCACAACAGCCAGTTCCAAAAGGACCCTGTAGCCCCAGATTCTGCAGAATCTGGGCCCCACCCTCATATTTCCTGGCCCACAAGGACCCTGGAGGCCAGATGTTTGACACCCTGAACTATTTCATCATAACTATGAAGCCAAAAAGCACTAGCTGTGGACCACAGGCCAGGACACGTTTGTGCTAAGTGCTCTGTGAAAACAGAACTAAAAACTGAAGAGCTCTGAAGAGCTTATAGTCTAAGGATAAGACAAGAGATAGATACAGACATGGAGGCATAAGTTGACATTCAAGTGGTGAATGATAGATGACAGGACAAGAATAGGGTGTGAAGGTCTTTGAAAATGAAGACAAAGGGCTTACGTTTGTGATTGAGAAGGCAGAGCCTGTAGAGAGAGAGACAAGAAACACTGATGTTAGTGACTGGATATTTGAAAGAGCACTGTGTCAGAGTTTCCCAACACAGAAAAAGGATATTGCAGTTAAAGATATGAGATGATGACAAGCTAAATAAAGAGCTTTAACTGTTTGGATAGATAGAAGAGGCCATGTAATATTTGAGATGTTATGCAAAGAGAGAACCTGGACGACAGGACATAGGAATTTAAATAAAAGACAACATCTGGACAATGAATCAAAAGTAATAGGTGGGACAGTGGTACTGTACACAGTGATCAAGAAAAATGGTGGGGAGAGGAGTCTGGAGTAGGAAGGGCATTAAGAACTCTGTTTTGGCCTAGTCTAACCTAAGCTAATGGTTAGACATCCATAAAGAAATATCAGAGAAACAGGGTAAGATTTTAGTTTGGACAGAAGATAGATCTCCAAAACAGACAGATCTGGGATCATCAACTTAAAGTTGGTAGCTGAGCCTGTGTTTGCACATGAAATGTAAAGGGAAAAGAGATGATGACCACAAATAGATATTGCAGAACTTTTACAGAAAATGGAGTTGGGGGAGAACACAAAGAAGGAAATAACTAAGGGAGAAAATATAGGAGGAGAAGTAGGAGAAGACAGACTCATAACAGCCCCCAGACAACAACATTCAAGAGGAACATAGTCACCTGCGAGAATGACAGATGGTCAAGAAGGCTGTAGAAAGAGCATTGGTTCTGAACTTTGTTTAGTTACAACAGAAAGCAACATTCAGCGTTCTGAAGCCATCTGTGGTACAGTGGGCCATGTCTTGAATTTAAGGAACATGCACAAATGTTCCTTTAGCAACTACTTCTTTCATTCTGTTAAAATTGCTTTGATTTTCAACAATAGGGAAAAATCCAACAGGTTTATTTTCCTTTAACTTTATAAAACTTTGACTATCCACATCAAATTAGATGTTCTAAAATAAAATTAAATGCGTTTTGAAGATCAATTGTAAAAGTTTTCATACTTGGAAAAACATTCAAATGTCACTGCTTTTCATAATTCCACCTTACTTTGAATATCTCTTCTTTTAGATGCACAAACAAGTTATGACCAATAACTGCTTCCAAAGGTTACTATACTTCCTGAACAGGAAGCTAATCAGACCATAGGATCTCTGTTTTGTTTTTTTAAATAGCCCCAAAGGAGTGCTTTTGTAATACACTTTAAATAAGCGAAATAAAAGCCTTTGGGTGGAATAGCACTTCATAACACATACAAATGTGTCTTTCCATATTTTAACCACACACACTCTATTAGGTTGGCATAATTAACAGATGCATTCTGCACAAGAAACTGGAACTCGGATGGGCAGTTACAGGTCAATAACGTGTTACATTACATTGATACAGAACTGGGAGGGGGAATATTTTAATTTACTAGGAATGCCTAAACTAAATTCTATTATAGCAAAATCTCCACAAATGTCCATCATATATTAGGAGCAACCATCATCTAAATTAAAATACTCAATATAAAACACAGTATATAAAGGACTGGTCTTCCATCTTGACTTAAAATATCTACCAGCTAATAAAGTGGGGAAAAAGCTCAGGCCACTCAAATCCTCAACTTATTCACTCCTCATAAGAAAAAGAAAATGATGTGGTTTAGAGCATGAAGAGAAGCTTAAATCCAGATTCTAGCAATGAAGCAAAATAAGCCAAGTTCAAAACAGAGTATTTCACAATTCATTCTGCCAGTGTCTCCCCCTTTTTCAAAACAAGGATGCACCAACTTGAACCACTCTGTTGATTAATGCTTCACCAGGTCCTCTCACAGGAAGGATAGGTAAACTCTCAGGTACCACATTTCAAACCTTTTAGAGGTTTACAAATTAATTCCAATGCTTAATTCCACCAAAACTTTGTGGAAGCTAATGTCAGTTACAAAATGCAGATGTAGCCGGTTCCTTGCATTTTGCATAAGCTCAGCTTTCCAAGCTATTTTAAGATGAAGCTCCATATAAAGCTGTTACAAATTACGCTCTTAAAGCCACGTGCAGTTCGCTCTAGGCTGGGGCAACGATCACGCAGAGCAAGTATCTAAAGTCAGATACAGAATCTTTATTCGCTGCAGCGAGGTGCCTTCGAGGAGGCACCCCACCTACCAGTTATAATACTATTTTATACCTTGTTAGTACGTCAGCATTAGTTCGTGATTAGCTCGTGCTTGTAAGAATACCCAATCATCTACTAACTAACTAAATTACTATTCTATCCAATCAAGTGACATTGTGCATGTGAACACCAAAGTTTAACTCTCGTCACTGCATGTTTTATATATTCTTGCCAAGTAGTCTGCTTGAAAGAAAACAATTTTTGTACTGCTTTCAAGGTTTCTCTGTTGACCCGATTCAGCTAGTTTCATATCTTATCAGTAACGTTTTACACAGCACTTCTCTTCTCACCCTTCCAGTCTGTGCTGTGTCCGCTTCTATGTATTGAGGTTAAAGGTAAAAGAAATGGCCTTACTTCTATGTTGCAAAATCCACACACAACAAAGGGCACTGTAGTTTATAACAGTTAACAAAAACCAGGTAAGAAATTTGGTTTCAGACTGCTAAATACATTACCGGCCATATCTCCATCCCTCCCCACACTGTAACCTCTCCCTGTATGTTAAGGAAGACTGATGATAATACTGACTTCTCCTTAAGAACCAAATCATACCCTTTCCATTACTCACTCCCAACAAGGCAATATTTTCCACATCCCCAGGGCTCCTCTGATGACCTTTACCAATCAGTAGTACTAAGGCTCAAACTTGCAGGTTTAGCACAAAACATGAATCTCAAAAACAATAGT